TAGGCCAAGATCCGCCAATACTTGTACACTGGGGCAAGTTTTGTACAGATGAGCCGTCTTTGGTTCCGTATCTGCAAATAGGCCTGCTGGATGTGCGACATAGGCCTTGCCAACGCTAACTTGTCTATGATCCTCCGGGATCCTCACCACAAAGCACAGATCTGGGGTGGCGGCTAAAAGTGGAAGCCAGCTGAGTGTTGTTCTGACCTTGAACTTGACCTGACTCCACTGTGATAATTCCCTTGACAGTATTGTAGAAAGAAAGAAAATGGAAATTGTCGGAGAGGTGTAGACAAAAGAAGTTCAAACCAGGAAGGTTCCAGAATGACTTCCTCAGTCTCCTCTTCCTAATTCTTGGGAGTTCTCAACTCAGCCGGACAAAGCACCTACCAGCACCATCCACTTAACACTGTTCCCGGAAGAGGTTCGCTCCAAAAGAAGCGTCTCCGAGAATGCCAGAGGGCATGCGAAATCAATGCGGCTTTTCTGGAAAGTGGCTGGACAGTATGTATCCAGAATCTTTAATACGCAGTCCACTTAGTTCAATAATTCCACTGCTGGGAACCGCCACTGTTGAGATACCAACTGTGTATTAAAAATTACTGAGATGACTGGACAAAAACATTCACATCGGGAGTTCTGGAGACTGGCTGCACAACTCTGTGAATGTACTGAACACTACTGACCCGTACATTAAAATTGGTTAAAAATCAGGAATGGGAAATGGAAACAATGGACATTAAATATCAAGTTCTTCAAGCAAATTGCAAACTACTCACGATATGCTATTAAATGAAAAAAGGCAGAGCACATGTGGTCTCAGGTTTAGGTGGAGTCGATTAAAAAATAAAAAAAACTAGAAAAATCAAAACGCTAAGAGTAGTTCTGCCTCTATGCTGGGATCTCCAGTTTTCTACAAGAAACCCTCTAGCGCAGCGGTTCTCAACCTTCCTAATGCCACAACCCTTTAATACAGTTCCTCATGTTGCAGTGACCTCCAACCATAAAATTATTTTCGTTGCTACTTCATAACTGTAATTTTGCTACTGTTATGGATCGTAATGTAAATATCTGATATGCAGGATGTATTTTCATTGCTACAAATTGAACATAATTAAAGCATAGTGATTAATCACAAACACAATATGTAGTTATATATGTGTTTTCTGATAGTCTTAGGCGACCCCTGTGAAAGGGTCATTTGACCCCCAAAGGGGTCGCAACCCACAGGTTGAGAACCACTGCTCTAGCGGGTGAGGGAGGGCGGGGCCTGGTAGACGAACTCACGGTCCAAGAATCAAAGGGCAGAATGACTTCCATTTTACAGCCTGTCCGCTTTGAGGTTTTCCCCTTTAAAGAAACAGACAGCCAGAGGGGTTTTCAAAACTGACACATCAGCTCTGTCAACAGAGACAGACCTGGAACTGGAAGCAGCAAAGGTGCAAACAGCCGGCAGGACCCAGTCCCCCCAGACAGGCAATGACGAGCGAGAAAAGCAGCATCACCCACTTGTCACCATCTGCTGTCCCCACCACCACGTTTTAAAAGGCTGCTTCTCCTTCCTGCAGTACCTTTGGATTGTTTCCTAATGGGCCTGAAGTGACCTGGGAAATGTAATCCAAATAGAAAGTAACTAATGATGTTACTAATAAACAAACCACAGGAAATGGGCTTTGCTCTTCTCTGGAAGACAAAAGGATACATTACAAACATTAATGAATTCTTAATCCAGAAAGGCTTGCACTAGCCACAGAATTACTTTAATGGACCCTGGTCCTTGTTTTCATGACCAGAAAATGTATTTTTCCATTTAGAAAAAAAAACACACGAATTTGAAATACTCAGAAAACTGCATCTTTCAACTAGCAGTAAATATATATATATATATACACATACATACACAAATGGAGCAAGATAGGAAGACAGGAAATAAAAATAATGATTGGGAATCTAAGTGGAATGTAAGAAGCTCAGTCACGTAAAATGCAGCGTCACAGTATTACAAGGTTAATGAAACTGTGTCTGGCCCAGAGTTCCCATGGCCCAGGAGCTAACCACCAACTGTACCCGTATACAAACTTTCATTAATACGGGCCGGCCACGTGAGTGCCTATTACAGGGGTTTATGGAATTTGACCTTTGCCAGAATAAATAGTTTGGTCCTTGACAGTTTCTTGATTAGCATCAATTAGTGAAGAGTTTCTATCCAAACAAGTAAAACAGGTTTGGTGGTATGTGTGTGTGTGTGTTAAGCACCTTCTTAAAAGAGAAAGAAAGGGGTTTTGTCTTAAAAATAAGAACAACAGTCATCAGGTAGTTTCAGAGCGGGATCTGAAAGATGACAGGATCCCGCTCAGGCGGAGGGTTCCACACCTGGGGCGCTGCACACACAGCACACCGTGCCTGCTGTAGGGTTAGCAACCACGGACTACCTTTTTAAATAGATGGCCGTTTTTACATCCAGTGCACGTGCACGACCATATGCCTGCTATTTTTACAGGCAGGTAGACCATCAGGGCTCTGGATGGTTTTCCAACAATATGGCTTAGACAGAAATCTGTGTGTAAGACGCTGTGGGGAACATGCTGTTTCTTTGTCTGATGGAGCCTGAGTCACTGCCATTGTTAAGCAAGCTTCTCTGCCCTTACCTTTCCTTTTCGGATTAAAATGATGAAGGAAATAAAGCTGAGGTACTGCCGGGAGACACAGATCTGGGCACGACACACGCACGGCTCCGCTGAAGAAGAACCTGCTGAGTGTGTTTAGTTAGCATTTGGGCCCACTTTTTCTATTATGGAGAATATTTCCTTCACTCCATGAAAAGGCTGAATGCTGCAGAACTACTTCCTTCTATTCATAAGGCCTTGCAAAGATTTTAGCAGAAGTAAATGTTGCCCCTATGGAGAAAAACAAACGCTTGAATATTTTCTCAAAACCAAAAGACATGTCATGTAGTCAGGACACTGGACCCAGGCCTTGTCAGGGACTTCCCTGCAGGGGAGCCTGTAGCCTCGCAGACCCTGCTGGAGGGCCACACTTCCCAGGCTCACCATGCTATTCGCTTAACGTCCCACTGAAGTGCCACTAAATAACCAAATAAATAAATTGTAACTGTGTGAGGTGATGGATGCACTCACTAACCTCACTGTAATCATTTTCCAATACATACAGATATAAAGTTGTATGGATAGGTGTCAGTTGTATCTCAATAAAGCTGGAAAAAACAAATGTAGTTAAAAAGAAGTTTTAAGCCTGGCCAGTGTGCTTCAGTGATTGAGTGTCGCCCATGAACCAGGAGTGTCGATTCCCAGTCAGGGCACACACCAGGGCTGCAGGTTTAATCTCCAGTCGGGGGTGTGCAGGAGGCAGCTGATCTATCCCTCTCCCTTCCTCTCTCTAAAATCAATAAAAATATATTTTAAAAGCAGGTTTAAGTCCTACTAAAACAGAGCGAATCTGTTATTAATAATGAAATTATATCTGAAATGCAGTATTCCCTGTCTCTCAAGTGTGTGCTTGTCCCAAGACTCAAGCAACAAATCATCTACAGTAGCAAAGACCACGGGGAAACTGTCCTAACAATCCACTCTCTGCACTCGCCATTACCCTCCACCAAGGTCCCTCAAGAGTCCAGATGGGCTCGAATTCTATTATCTATTTTATATAGATGAGGGATGCTTAGAGAAGACACCTGCCCGGTCCCTAACCATCAGATGTGGGAAGTGCATAAACACACGACTTCAAGGGCAAAGGACAAGTGATGTGGCTGATAAGAGGAAAAGTAAAACACTGTGCAGAGTTTATAGAAAGGCAGTATGGAAATTGTAATTTAAAAGAAGAAATCTGCCAGAGATACAGCAGTTGGGGGAGGACAAAGAGAAGGAAGAAAAGACATTCCAGGAATTTCCCCAAATACTGATAAACAGGTCAAATTCCTTGGCACAGGAAATCGCTTCATACCAAAAAGGTCTCCAAGTTCCAGCGAATGACTGGGTTGTAAACAATGTTGTCCAAAATAAGAAAGTTCTAGAATCATCAACTGTTTTGGACACTCACCAACTCATAGTGCCATTTCTAACAGTCAAAGCCTTAAAAGCTGCCTTCTTAATTTTACCTCCCCACAAACTGCAAATAGCCATTAAATAATTCTGAAATAATGCATAGGATATCAAGAAACACAAATATTGAGGAAACCAGAAGAACAAACACAATTTTTACAGTCCGGGGCACATTTTAGACTATCTCCAAACACGTGACGTGTAGATGAGAGCATTCTGCGCTGGCCCCATAATCGGGAAGGCCCAACCGTCTCACCCTCAGCAAACAAGTACTCAGTGAGCCTGAAAGAAGATCAACGGACTTTTATGACCCCAGGTATCAGCATTTTGGAAAGGCTTTCCTCACATCTGATTCATAACCTCTCCAAGCTAAGTAACGTTGGGTTTGTATTGGCAATGTTAACTATAAAAAGTTGGTAAGCGTGAGGAAAGCGAAAAAGACTTTAACCAAATAATCCATCCATCCGTCCCTGCCACTTTACAAGTCTGAATTTTCACAAACAATTAAATTTTATAGCTGTTCAAATGCCAGATGATGTAATCAAAGAAAATACATCGGTGTATGACACTCGGTAGTAATAGCTGTTATCAGATTACACTTGCCCAAATCCAAAACCTTTAAATGCACCAGTGTGTTTAAAGTGTTCCCTAATTCATGAGCAAGAAAGCAACAAAATCGATGGTTAATGTTAATATTGATAACAAGATCTGGAATCTTTATAAAAGTATAGCCTGGGTAATCAATATATTTTATATACAAGTTGAACTAAGAAAATGAATCTATTCATAATTCTTAAGATTTCCTTTTTTTTCAGAAGTCATTGTACAAAGAAAAAACCTGCTCCCAGATTTCTTATAGGCACTAGTTTTGCTTAATTTCAATGCATGTATTGCATATATAACCAAGATCTTGATCTGGGTGCTGTTCTGTTGCTTGCTTACCTGGGGATTTTTTGTTTGATCTTGATTGCACTGAGTGAGACTGTCGTGGCAGCAGAGGTGATGAAGGCAGTGACATGGAGACACCCTTGGCCAAGCTCACCCTATAGGTGTCCTCAGCCATAGGAAGGCTGCTCACAGAAAAGTCGCCACCAACGCCAGAGGGCAGGCCTGGAGGGGAGGTCTCTGGACCAAAGTCACCTCCTGGAGTGGAGAAAGCAAACCTTAGGTTAGACCAGCCATCACAGGTGGAAGCAAATTTAATTCCTAGGAACTACATTCTTAGAATGTAATTCCCATAGAGCATATGTGTGTGCACTGAATTTTTTTTAACAACTTTTTTCCCCTCTCTACCACTCTTAAGGACTTTTAACACGGTGAGAGAAACTTCAGGTTTCACCCCTCAAGCATCAATAAACTGCCCCATACCCTTTTCTGCACCATACCAACTGGTCTGGTTTCATTCATAACAATGGGTTCAGAAAGCCACTGATCTCAGATTAGATCAAGGTCAAGTATGAATGACCCACAAGAAGATTTAATTTCAGCCTAAAGAAAGGGATCAATAGAATAGATTCAAACAATAAAATCCATTCCACAATTCTCTGGCCTCCTACCAGTTCTCTAAAAAACAAAAAAGAAATCCAAGAGAGTCTGGAATACTTCAACATTCCTCCCCAGTTCTCTCATCTGACCCACGTCACACGCCCCATGGCATAGGGTGGACTCTCCTATAACTCAACCAGCCCAAACCCTTCGTCCCGAGACCAGAACCATGGCTCACTTATTAAAGCAGGTTCTCCTTGGCATTCAGTTCCTAAATGAACTTAAGGACAAACAAGCTTCCTGTTATGACATTAAACATTCTAGAGTAAGCAGATGCAAAGAAAAAATACTGAGGATGCAATTACAGTGAAGGGACTACACATGTAACTCAGAAGAGAATATACAGGCCGGGACCAGTCCGCCCCCCTGCCCCCCAACCCAGGCCTCAAGCACTCAGACACAGATGCTTCTCCTACTGTCCCTCTTGCCCCATCAACTCCTCCCTGTCCCCCGCTGAGAAGCAACTGAGGAAGTGCAGGCAGAAGAGGAGGTAAGTCATTATCCTGATGATTAAAAACATCTTCAATCTTTAAATAATATACGGAGAACTGGAAAGCTTTAGACAGTTTTCCACAAACTGGACTGACAAATGCTATCCAAGTGGCTCTCGTGACCAGTCCCTGCCAGCACGTGGGTGTCATCTCAGGAATGCAAACAGGTGCTGTGCCTGCAAGAATGGTGCCTGGTCACCTGATTCCTGGATGTTTAGCAAGAAACTCCGGAGACAGAGAACTTGGAAAGCACTGAGGCCACAGCCCACAACCCCAGGGGGTTTACACACAAAGATGTGAGATGGGGCCCTGAAGAGGTGGCCCTGGGTCTCCATGTGGTGGGAAGAGAACCACCCTGCCCCATGGCTGCCCTTATGCCCCTATAGCCCCGTCCTGAGCAGTCAATGGCTGGGGGGTGCCTGACAGGTGCAGGCATGGTGACAGGCACGGTCTTTCCCACTCACACACGAGTATTTCTGACCTATAAAAACAACAACAGCCCAGTAGCTCAGCAGTTGAGTTCCATTCCCGGTCAGGGCATATGCCTGGGTTGTGGGCTTGATCCCCAGAGTGGGGCGTGCAGGAGGCAGCCCATCAATGATTCTCTCATCAATGTTTCTCTCTCTCTCCCAAATCAGTAAAAATATATGTATTTATAAAAACAGCCCAGAGCTTCCTTCCCTGCTGATAACTCTCGCGGACACGGTGAACGTTCCTAAAACCCGCCAAACTTTCTGTAAGAAGTGTAGCAAGCATCAGCCCCACAAAGTAACACAGTACAAGGAGGGCAAGGATTCTCTGTGTGCACAGGGAAAGCGGCGTTATGACAGGAAGCAGAGTGGCTATGGTGGGCAGACGAAGCCGATCTTCCGAAAAAAGGCTAAAACTACAAAGAAGATTGTGCTGAGGCTTGAATGCGTTGAGCCTAACTGCAGATCTAAGAGAATGCTGGCTATGAAGAGATGCAAGCATTTTGAATTGGGAGGAGATAAGAAGAGAAAGGGTCAAGTGATCCAGTTCTAAGCTTCATCAGTTCCTCATGTTGTGACCCAACCATAAAATTATTTTCGTTGCTACTTCATAACTGTAATGTTGCTACTGTTATGAATCATAATGTAAATATCTGATATGCAGGATGGTCTTAGGTGACCCCTGTGAAAGGGTCGTTTGACTGCCAAAGGGGTCGCGACCCAAGGTTGAGAACCGCTGCTCTAAGGGGCTACAAGAGAAATTGGGGATTCGAGGCTAAAAGAGAATTGGAGTTTCCTAATTAGAAAAACTGCCCCAGAACCTTGTTTATATCAAGCAGTACAAATATTTTCATTAACTGCAAGTCTGGTGGGGAGTTTCCAAGGCATGCTGCAGCCACCAGGCCCTTCAGCCTTCGCACAGCTGCGCTCAGAGATGACGTTTGGGAAGGACGGGTTTTCATTTCAAGTTTAGTTTGAAATCACACTGTAAGATCAGTCCCAAATATGTTGTTCGGTTGGTCTGTTTTGCAGACACAATGAGAGATCCCTAGCTTCCAGCTTCCTTTTATAAGAAAGGGAGAGACATTTTATGTATGAACAGGTGGCACAAAGCACGCGGGGTGATACAGTGGCTGAGAAGCTAAAGACAGAAGCTGTCGAGCCTGGTGCTTTAACTGCGCGAGGGCAAAGGGGTTCAGGTCAAAGTCAGCCTGGCAAGCGCATCACAAGGAGGCGGCCGACGCCAGGCAGATGGCGAGGCTCTCAGGGGCATCCGTGAGAACTATCCGATATCGGTCTGCGCAATAGAAGCCAGCATTTCTCCGCTGATTTAACATTCCTCAGCAGATGCTTATTAAAGCCGTTTAGGAGGAATTAAAAACATGTCATGGCAACGACCAGCAGGGCTGGCACATTTCTTTGAGCCTGAATCCATGTTTTTGTTGTAGCTGTGATCTGTGTCATTCCCTCCTCAATAAAGTGATGGGAAGCACCCTCCATGTCGCTGCTGCAGAAAGGCCCCGCCAGGGGGGATGGTGCATCCTCTCCCGCGTATGAAAACCACGATGTCCACCACAGAGGATGTGCCAGGCCGCCTCCCGTTCTGCGGCAGGTGTTTCCCGTGGAACATTTACACCCTCGGCCTGAGACGCTGGTAATCCCAGAGAGCACTGGTCCAGTCATTGTTTCACAGGCAGGAAGCTGGAGCATGGGGGTTAACCATGACGAGAAGGTTAGGGCTTCCCCCCCAGTCTCCCCAACCAGCACTCAGGCTG